AGCCAAGAAAGTACATGCATCGTCCATAACTTTTGGTTCTGTTTGTTCATTTTCCTAAGTTCCACTCACATTTCCTGCTTTTCTTTTTCTGTGCTGGTAGACCAGGAACACACTATTCTATGCTCTTCTCTTCCAGACTTCTAGGATATAAATTTGTTTTGTCCTGCTTTGCTTATTTTGCTAGGTATCACTTACAAATTTTTCATTCTCATTCCTAAGTCCAATTCATTGTTGACTCAGTAGTTTCCTCATTCCCTTGGCTTTAACTTGCTGACTGGGAGAATAAACATCTTCCTGACTTAAATCCCTTTGGCTTACTCCACAAACACCTTACCACTTTTGAGCACTTGTTAATTGCATCTTTGCTGACTTTTAAATACTCAGTTTTGGAGATGAGAGTTGATTATTTTGATTAAAAATAATTATTAGGATTTTATGTTGATTTTGGTTAACTGCACTTTTTCTTCTGAATAGTTCATTTTGTCAGTGACAGGAAAAACCGCTTCTGTGATCACCTACCATAAGATTAACCTAGACTAGAATTGAGTTTGGCCCTAAAATGCGTTTTCTCAGTTTGTGCACTTCTCATGGCAGCTTTGTACCTGGGAATGATAGTAGGTGCTTAATGTTAGTTAAATGAATCTGAAAATAATTGAAACATTTTATGTTAGTTACACTTTAGAGAAAATATAATTTGGTTGCCTTGTAACTTTTTTATCATTTGATTGCTATGTTACAGTTTAATATATCATTTTAAGTTTTTTTTCTAATAATGTAATCATTTAAAAGCTATTCTTACTAAATGTCCATATACCACTGTGGCCTATACTCTGCAAGGTCCTTTGTGTACTTTGTCTCTAATCCTCAGTGACCATATAAGTTTGCAGGAATTATCTCCATTTTGCAGATGAAAGAAACAGACCTCAAAAGAGTTAATTGACGTGCATAAGTAATATGTATGTGTGTATTGCATTTGTATTCTTTGATCTCCATTCCCTTAAACCAATGTAGATGCCATTTTTCAATTCCCATATTTGGTAGTTGAGTCAAGCAAATTTTTAAGTCTTTTTTAGAGCCGTTTTAGGTTTACAACAAAATTGAGTTGTAGGTACAGAAATTTCCCATATATCCCCTGTCCCCACACATATTAGCCTCCCCTATTTTCACCGTCACTCACCAGAATGGTACCTTTTTTTTTTTTTACCAAGACTGAACCTACATTGACACATCATAATCACCTAAATTCTATCCATAGTTTGTTTACCTTTGGGTTCACTCTTGGTGTTGTACATGCTGTGCGTTTGATCACATTTATAATGACATGTACATCATTATTATATTGTACAGAGTATTTTCACTGTTCTAAAAATCATCTGTGCTCTGTCTGTTCTCTCTGCTCTGCCACCCCTGGCAACCAGTGATCTTTTTTATTTACTCCATCATTTTGCCTTTTCCAGAATTCCGTATATTTGGAATCATACTGTATGTAGCCTTTTCAGATTGGCTTCTTTACTTAGTAATATGTATTTAAAGTTCCTCGGTGCCTGTTCATGACCTGATAGCTTCTTTCTTTTTAGTGCTGAAGAATATTCCATTCTCTGGATATACCGCAGTGTACTTATCTGTTCACCTGTGGAAGGGTACCTTGGTGGGTTCCAGGTTTGGCAATTAGAAATAAAGCTGCTGTAAACATCCATGTCCAGGTTTTTGTGTAGATATAAGTTTTCAACTTCTTTGAGTAAATACAAAAAGTTCAATTTTGGGATCATATGGTAAGAGTGTGTTTAGTTTGTAAGAAATTGCCAAAGGGACTTCCAAAGTGTCAGTGCCAATTTGCATTCCCCCAACAATGAGTAAAGTAAGAGTTCTTATTGCTCCATATCCTCACCAGTATTTGGTGTTTTCAGTGTTTGGATTTGGGCCTTTTTAGTAAGTGTGTATCAAGTAATTTTTAAAAACCATTTGGTTAGGTAGCATTATGACATTGGACTGTGAATATTTTTCATTCAGTAGTCTCTTACTTTCCTTACTTGTGTATCACTCCCTTCCCTTTTTCCCAGGGCTGTGCTGCTACTTCCTCTTAATCATGTATCAGTTGTTTGTTTGCTAGGTGGAAAGAAGTCATGTCTTTATGCTTTAGTTGATTAAATATTTTTAAATGTTTGGTGAGAGGTTGCTTGTTTCCTTCTAATTTAAAAACTTCTCAGTGTACGAGATTTTCTTCAAGTACAAATTGAGATTATGATTCTTCTGCTGTTTATGAAAACCTTAAAATAGTTTATTACATATTGATACTTGCTATCATAATCACAGAAAGATAAGGGTTCAAGTAGTTATATCTTGTCATTTAAGTTTTAAGGAGATAAGTGGGAAGTAAGATTAAAATAATAAATAGATTTGGCTTCTAGGAAAAGAAAATACAGAAAACTTCCTTGTTGCCCATTTAAGAAAAGTGTGCCTGAATTAATAGTTAGGTGTTGCTGTGTAACAGACTAAAATATAGTGTGGCTTAAATTAACCATTTTCTGAGTCAGGAATTTAGGTAGGTCTTCACTTTCTTCATGTGGTATTGATGGAGATTACTTGGTAGTATTCAGCTGGCTGATCCATGTGGTTCAAGACAGCTTCACCCACTGAGTGCCACCCTGATCAATATGGCCAGAAGGTAGGGTTCAGCTGGGACATGAACCAGAGAGCACAGAATCACCGTTACGGCTGTTTCATGGTAATGTCACACTTGGCGTAGTAGATCAGGGCTCTTAGAGAGGGTAATAAAATGCTTGCGTAAAAGCTGCAAGGTTTCTTATGACTTAGCTTTGGGAATCCCAGGCCATTTCTGCTGTATTTTATTCATCTTCAGAGTCACTGAGGTCAGCCCAGATTCAAAGAGAGGGAAATTTGACTTCGTCTCAGTGTAAAGACTGGCAAAGAATTTGTGGCCATTTTTAATTTGCCACAGCACATCACACTACTTATTTTAGATTGTGTAAATTAAAGTGAAAAATAAATTGGTGGTAGAGAGGGGAAATCATTTCATGTATTTTCTACTGTGAACAGATTTAAACAGTTATTGTTGGAATCAGAGCACCTATAACTGAAGTTGATCTTTTCCTGGAATTTAAACAAAATGCTTATTAGTTTGATTTGAAAGGAAGAGTTGGTTTTTGTTAACATTAGAACTATAAATATTTTGCCTCTATATGTATTTTTTCCTCTAATATTTGTTTTATGATTAACAGAATAAAACCATATGCTTACATCTCACATGTCTTGAGTTCAAGAGTTGTAGATGTATGAGATCTGAGGAAAGAATCCTCTGCTCCATTTCTTAGCTTCTAAGCCAACAATGTATCTTTTCTCACCAATTTATATAATACTTAAATATTATAAATAATGTTTTCTAAAATAAGATACAGTCTAGTTTTTACTGAAAGGAAAAAATACCAAAGCAAATTTTTGGCTAAGAAATATTAGTTCATGTTCAAAACTGGTAGATCATTTTAAGGATTTTGGCTTTTAATGAGTGAAAAGGACCTGGATCAGAGAAGAGTGACATGATCTGACCTATATTTTAGCAGAATCTCTGACTGCGTTATTAAGTTGCCAAGGAGTGGCAAGGGTAGAAATAACCGATTTGGAGGCTATCCAGGAGGAAGATGGCTTGGAAATGGTCAAATTACAGGTGTTTTTTGAAGGCAGAGGTTCATGATCCATAAGTGGTGTGAGAAAGATAAAAGATAAGGATAAGCCAAGACTTTTGGCCAGTGCAACTGGAAGAGTGTGAGCTGTTTCATCAAAATGAGAAATGTTTGTAGAAATAGTTGGTGCAAAGAACAATGTAAGGAATTCATTTTGAAGATATTGAAGTTTGAGTTGACTATTTAGATACCCAAATGGAGATGTCAAACAGGCAGTTGGATATACCAGTGTGGAGTTCAGGAGAAAGTTTTAGGCTGGAGTCAGAAGTGTATATGATGTTTAAAATCCTTCAGACAGGGAAATCACCAAGGCAGAGTAGAGAAATAAAGTGGCTGAGGAAATGAAAATAATGAGTTGGTTTAAGGAGGTGAAAAAAAACATGAATAGCAGTATTAATGAAAGTGTAGAATTTAAAGTTAAAATACTGAATCAAGTTAAGAGAGACATTGGGGGAAAGGATAATAAAAGGAAAGTTTGTCAAGAAAGTACATTAGGTAAAAACTTTATGAACCTAACAAATAGCTAGATATAAAAGAAAAAAATCCTTGAAATGTGAACTCAACCTGACAAAATACAATTTTATATATATGTGTATGTGTGCATAATATAGAGTTTTAATACAACATTTTTAGAACTAGACAGGTCTTGTACACACAATACAGAGATTAGAGGTATTGAACAAAGTAGTTAACTAGCTCAGTAAAGAGATATATACAAGGGAGGAGCTAAGATGGCGGCGTGAGTAGAGCTGTGGAAATCTCCGAAAACCATATATATTTTTTTGAAAATACAACAAATACAACTATTCCTAAAAGAGAGAACAGTGGATACAGTACAACAACCAGGCTACATCTCATGAAGAGGGGATAAGATAGAAGCCTTGGCCCAATGGGACCCAAGCACTCCCCCCACCCCAGCTTCCTGGCAGGAGGGAAGGAGTTGGAGCAGGGAGGGAGTAAAAACCTAGGAATACTAAACAACCAGCTCTAGTATACTAATCTGCACTGGGAGCGCAGACACACAGTGCACGGTGTGCTGGATATTAGAGAAACGGAAAAGCAAATTCTGAGAGTGGGTCTCCGCAAGCGGTGCCCCTGGGACAAAAGAAAAGCGAGTGCTTTTGAAAGTCTTAAAAGGACAGGGATGTCATAGCTGGAGTCATCCTGGCACACTCAGCCCAGCAGCTGGGAGTCCCGGGGGACTCCAGGTGCCCTAACCCACTGAGCGGCAGCACAGCTCTGAAGCCCCTCATGGTGATAAGCAGCCTGCTAGTCATTCCCCCGGCCAGCGTGGCCCCCGACACAGCAACGCAGTAGCCCGGGAGGGGGCGTGTGAGCTGGCGGCGACCAAGTGGCCCAGGAGCGGCCGCAAGCGCCCATGGCAGCAGTCGACTGGCCTGGGAGCAGACGCACCCCCAGCAGCTGCCCAGAATCTCCTCCTGGCGCAGAGCCACCCGGGACAGACCCAAAGGCTGCCACCAGCATGCAGCTCCCTGTCGCAGGCAGAGAGGTGCCGCACTCGCAGGAGAGCACACTGGACTCACCTGCCACTCCCCGCAGGGCTTTTGGCTACCCTGACAGTGACCCGCCCATGGCAGCTTAGGGTATTAATCCAGAGGTTCCTCCATGAGTGCAGATAACCGACACAGGCAGAGGAGAAGGGCAGGTGAACAGAAAACAAGAAAAGACTTTGTTCTCCCAGCAGACACACGTGCTACCTGCCTACAGCTACCTCTATTGCCATGAAAAGGCAGAAGAATTTGGTCCAGTGCAGAATTATCCAGACAACCCCCAAGACAGGGCCTGGGGAGATAGATTTAACCTATCTTCCTGAAAAAGAATTCAAAATAAAGGGCATAACCATGCTGATGGAGCTTCAGAGAAATATGCAAGAGCTAAAGGAGCAAGTAGGAAGGGAGAATACAGAAATACAACAATCTCTGGAAGGACTTAAGAGCAGACTGGATGAGATGCAAAGGGCCATTAATGGAATAGAAGTCAGACAACAGGAATACAGAAAAGCTGAGGCAGAGAGAGATAAAAGGATCTCCAGGAATGAAAGAATATTAAGAGAACTGTGTAACCAATACAAATGAAACAATATTCGCATTATTGAAGTACCAGAAGAAGAGAGAGAAAAAGGGATAGAAAGTGTCTTTGAAGAAATCATTGCTGAAAACTTACCCAAACTGGGGGAGGAAATAGTCTCTCAGACTATGGAGGCCCACAGAACTCCCAACACAAGGAACCCAAGGAGGACAACACCAACACACATAATCATAAAAATGACAAACATCAAAGACAAGGACAGAGTACTAAAGGCAGCCAGAGAGAGAAAAAAGGTCACTTACAAAGGAAAACCCATCAGGCTGTCATCAGATTTCTCAACAGAAATCTTACAGGTCAGAAGAGAGTGGCATGATATATTTAATGCAATGGAACAGGAGGTCCTTGAACCGAGAATACTGTATCCAGCACGATCATCATTTAAATATGAAGGAGGGATTAAACAATTCCCAGACAAACAAAAGTTGAGGGAATTTGCCTCCCACAAATGACCTCTACAGGGTATTTTAGAGGGACTGCTCTAGATGGAAGTACTCCTAAGGCTAAATAGATGTCACTAGACAAAATCACAACAAAGAAACCAGATGAACCAAATACTAACTAAAGGCAAAAAATAAAATCACAAAATAAATTCACAAAAGCAGTCAAGGGAAACACAAAACACTACAGAATAAAACACCTAACATATAAAGAACAGAGGAGGAGGAATAAGAAGGGAGAGAAATAAAGAATCATCAGACTGTGTTTATAATAGCTTAATAAGGGAGTTAAGTTAGACAGTTAGATAGTAAAGAAGTTACCCTTGAACCTTTGGTAATCAAGAATCTAAAGCCTGCAATGGCAATAAGTACATATCTTTCAATAATCACTAAATGTAAATGGACTGAATGCACCAGTCAAAAGACACAGAGTAACAGAATGGATAAAAAAGCAAGACCCATCTATATGCTGCTTTACAAGAGACTCAACTCAAACCCACAGACATACACAGACTAAAAGTCAAGGTATGGAAAAAGATATTTCATGTAAACAATAGGGAGAAAAAAGCAGGTGTTACAGTACTTGTATCAGACAAAATAGACTTCAAAACGAGATAAAGAAGGACATCACATAATGATAAAGGGCTCAGTCCAACAAAAGGATATAACCATTATAAATATATATGCACCCAATACAGGAGCACCAACATATGTGAAACAAATACTAACAGAATTAAAGGAGGAAATAGAATGCAATGCATTCATTTTTGGAGACTTCAACACACCATTCACTCCAAAGGACAGATCCTCCAGACAGAAAATAAGTAAGGACACAGAGGCATTGAACAACACACTAGAACAGATGGACCTAATAGACATCTACAGAACCCTACACCCAAAAACAGCAGCATACACATTCTTCTCAAGTGCACATGGAACATTTTCCAGAATACACCACATACTAGGTCACAAAAAGAGCCTCAGTAAATTCAGAAAGATTGAGATTCTACCAGCCAATTTCTCGGACCACAAAGTGATAAAACTAGAAATAAATTGTACAAAGAAAGCAAAAGATTCACAAAGACATGGAGGCTTAACCACATGCTCCCAAAAAATCAATGGATCAATGACCAAATTAAAACAGAGATCAAGCAATATATGGAGACAGATGACAATGACAGCATAAAGCCTTAACTTCTGTGGGACGCAGCGAAGGCAGTTCTAAGAGGAAAGTATATAGCAATCCAGACATATTTAAAGAAGGAAGAACAATCCTAAATGAACAGTCTAAAGTCACAATTATTGAAACTGGAGAAAGAAGAACAAATGATGACCAAAGTCAGCAGATGGAGGGACATAATAAAGATCAGAGAAGAAATAAATAAAATTAAGAAGAATTAAACAATAGAAAAAAATTGATGAAACCAAGAGCTGGTTCTTTGAAAAAATAAACAAAATAGAAAAACCCCTTGCTGGACTTATTAAGATAAAAAGAGAGTCTACAAACATCAAGAGAATAAGAAATGAGACAGGAAAAATCATGGCGGAACCCACAGAAATAGAAAGATTTATTAGAGAATACTATGAAAATCTATATGCTAACATGCTGGAAACCTAGAAGAAATGGACAACTTCCTAGAAAAGTACAACCTTCCAAGACTAACCAAGGAAGAAACAGACCAATTACCAGCAAGGAAATTGAAGCGGTAATCCAAAAACTACCCAAGAGCAAAACCCCCGGGCCAGATGGATTTACCGTGGAATTTTATCACACATACAGAGAAGACATAATGCCCATTCTCCTTAAAGTTTTCCAAGAAAGAGAAGAGGGGCGAATACTTCTAAACTCATTCTGTGAAGCCAGCATCACCCTAATACGAAAACCAGGCAAAGACCACACCAAAAAAAGAAAATTACAGACCAATGTCCCTGATGAACACAGATGCAAAAATACTCAACAAAATATTAGCAAACCGAATTCAAAAATACATCAAGAGGATCATACATCATGATCAAGTGGGATTCATCTCAGGGATGCAAGGATGGTACAATCCATCAACATCATCCACCACATCAACAAAAAGAAGGACAAAAACCACATGATCATTTCCATAGATGCTGAACAAGCACTCGACAAAATTTAAAATCCATTCATGATAAAAACTCTCAGCAAAATCAGTATACAGGGCAACTACCTCAACATAATAAAGGCCATATATAACAAACCCACAGCCTACATCATACTAAACAGCAAGAAGCAGAAAGCTTTTCCTCTAAAATTGGGAACAAGACTGGGATGCCCACTCTCTCCACTGTTATTCAACATAGTACTGGAGGTCCTAGCCATGGCAGTCAGGCAAAACAAAGAAATACAACGCATCCAGATTAGTGAAGAAGTCAAAGTGTCACTATTTGCAGATGACATGATATTGTACATAAAAAACCCTAAAGACTCCATTCCAAAACAACTAGAACTAATATCTGAGTTCGGCAAAGTTGCAGGATACCAAATTAATACACAGAAGTCTGTGGCTTTCCTATACACTAACAATGAACCAATAGAAAGAGAAATCAGGAAAACAATTCCATTCACAATTGCATCAAAAAGAATAAAATACCTAGGAATAAACCTATCCAAGGAAGTGACAGACCTATACCCTGAAAACTACAAGACACTCTTAACAGAAATTAAAGAAGACACAAACAAATGGAAACTCATTCCATGGTCTTGGCTAGGAAGAATTCATATTGTCAAAATGGCCATCCTGCCTAAAGCAACCTTCAGACTCAATGCAATGCCTATCAAAATACCAACAACATTTTTCAACGAACTGCAACAAATAGTTTTAAAATTGATATGGAACCACCTATGACCCCAAATAGCCAAAGCAATCCTGAGAAGGAAGAATAAAGCAGGGGGCATCTCGCTTCCCAACTTCAAGCTCTACCAGAAAGCCACAGTAATCAAGACAATTTGGTACTGGCACAAGAAGAGAGCCACAGACCAGTGGAACAGAATAGAGAGTCCAGATACTAACCCAAACATATACGATCAATTATTATATGATAAAGGAGCCATGGACATACAGTGGGGAAATGACAGCCTCTTCAACAGCTGGTGTTGGCAAAACTGGACAGCTACATGTAAGAGAATGAAACTGGATCATTGTCTAACCCCATACACCAAAGTAAATTCAAAATGGATCAAAGACCTGAATGTAAGACATGAAACCATATAACTCTTAGGGGAAAACATAGGCAAAAATCTCTTGGACATAACCATGAGTGACTTCTTCATGAACATATCCCTCTCCCCGGGCAAGGGAAACAAAAGCAAAAATGAACAAGTGGGACTATATCAAGCTGAAAAGCTTCTGTACAGCAAAGGACACCACCAATAGAACAAAAAGGCATTCTACAGTATGGGAGAATATATTCATAAATGACAGGTCTGAGAAAGGCTTGACATCTAAAATATATAAAGAGCTCATGCACCTCAATGAACAAAAAGCAAATAATCCAAATAAAAAATGGGCAGAAGAGCTGAACAGACAGTTCTCCAAAGAAGAAATTCAGATGGCCAACAGACATATGAAAAGATGCTCCACATCGCTTGTCATCAGAGAAATGCAAATTAAAACCACAATGGATATCTCCTCACACCAGTAAGGATCATCACCATCCAAAAGACAACAGCAAATGTTGGCAATGTGTGGAGAAAGGGGAACCCTCATACACTTCTGGTGGGAATGTAAATTAGTTCAACCATTGTGGAAAGCAGTATGGAGGTTCCTCAAAAAGCTCAAAATAGAAATACCATTTGACCCAGGAATC